GTGGGCTAAGAGCAGGAGGACTGGTTAAATGTTTAAGTAGTTTTAGAGCCCCTGAGGTCTCTTCCCTCTGCAGAACTGGACATCTGTCTCCCTCTGTGGCATAAGACACAAGGTTTATTCCCTGAGAGGGTAAAACAAGGGATCTCTGGCCTAGAGCCACTAGACACAAATTGAGGAGCAGAGTTCTATACTAAAAACAAGGGTATAAAAACCAAATTTACACATTGAATTACACACAAGACCTCCGGCTTTCTTTTCCCACTTGGCTACAAAACTTTGGCAGCCTGATTTATACCCTCAAGTAGATTTTTCTTTCAGGAATCTAGCCTAAAAGAAAAGACCCAGAGATACTGATAACACATATCCCCTCAAGATACTGATAACTCACGTCCCCTCAACAAAATTTCCAGTCAGATTGCCCCACAATATAGACTACTGTGAGTATAGAACTGCCAATTGTCTTTATAGGGCCTCAGTCTCAAATATGAGCAGATAAATATGGCACAACAGATAATTGAGGAAAGCATTTAATATGAAAAGCAGAGACAGAACCAATAAGTAAGTTCAGTCAATGAGGAAGAAACACAAATTATGAAGGGGAGATGAAAACTAGAAACTAATATTCACAGAGGAGAGAAGATGCTACGTCCATGAAAAAGGAACATAATACTATAAAAAAATATTTAGAGAACAAAAGGGAGCTCTTAGAATTTAAAAGCGTGACAATAGAAATAAACTCTATATAGATGGTTTTAAAGATAAAATGAAGACAATTCCCTACATCGTAGAGCAAAAAAACAGTGATGGAAAGTTTTAGAGGAGAAAATGACAAATCAATCAAGGAAGTCCAATATCCAGTGAATAGAGTTTTAGAAAGAAAGAGTGTAGACAATGGATGGGGAGGAATTCTTTAAGGAAATAATCTCAGGAAAATTTCCAGAGTTGAAGAGTATGAGTTTTTACAGTGAAAGAGCCCAATACAATGGATGGAAATAGATCCATACCACGGTACAATACTGTGAAATTCCAGAACACTGAAAGAACAGAAGATCCTGAAAACTTCTAAAGAGAAACAGCCATTAAGAGTTAAAATTGTGAAAATTCTCAGTAACAACACTGGAAGCTAGAATAAAGTGCAGCAATGCCTTTGGAAATTTGAAGAAACAAGATTTCCAACCTAGATTTCTATAATCAGTCAATCTATTACGCATCAGTGTAGAGACATTTTTAGACATATAATTTTCCCTCTCAGGAAGTTAACTGAGGTTGTATTCCACCAAAACAGAGGAGCAGACCAAAACGAAAAAGTCATGAGATTCTGGAAGAAGGACCCTCCACAGAAGGGAGGGGTGAAAGGAGCCCTTGGGGTAATGGTGAAGGGAGCCCTCAGGAAGCAGGCTGCACAGAAGGCCTGGAGAGCGGTCAGCCCAGACTGGAGCAGATCAAGGCTCTCGGAGAGGAGAGGCTTTCAGTAGAACAGCGAAGGCGCCTGACGATACGGAGAGGAGATTTACCCAACTGGAGATTTAACTCACCAATGAAAAAAGAAAATTACTAACTTTAGTTGGGCAGTAGCTTGAAGGAATGGAAATCTCATAAGACTCAGCCATGAAGAATATTTGTATAATCAAAAGTTTTTAAACGTTAAATATTGAGCTAGCAAAAGTTGGACTCAAGTACAAGGCAGGCGGGAGTGAAAAGAGTTATTGTATATTTTAGTCTCCTGTAATCAGGAGCAGGTAATACCTAAAATTGAAAAGATAAAATGTGCATGTCATATAGCCATACGGAGATAATACCAGCTACTCCCCTCCCAAGAAATAAACTCCATAGACACACAAAAAACAAAAGCAACAGCAACAAAATGAGCTAAAACATTTAGAAGGAGTTGCCTCTGGGAGATAGGAGCTGCTAGTTTTAGTAACATGCCTTTTAGACCTATTTGAGGTGCTATGGATGTATAACAGATTAAAGTAAGTTTTACAAAGTATAAATCAAATTTGTGTAAACCATATTGCAATTTAGTAAGATAGCTGACAAGTTGAGCTAAAGAACCCTTCTAGTAAATGTTTTATGTCATGCTCATTTTGTAGTAGGTAAATTTGAGTTGAAATCACAGGGAGCACACCTAAATCGTGGTTTCATCAAGAGGCACTTAAAAGAAAGTTAAACTCAGAATTAGGAAATAGCTACTGAGAATAATAGTTGTCTGGGACATATGTGC